CACAAGAAATAGAGCACACAAAAAATATAAAACAATAAATAAAACAAAACTAAATAATGTGAAAAACTAAAACAAATCTTAAATTTTTATTAATAAAAAATATTTAATACACAACAATAAATTTTAGTTTTTCTAGAAAAGTTTGAACAGTTTGTTTATAAATTTAAAATATTGAAATTTGTTTTATTAAATGTCTAACAAAAGTTGTTGTAAAATAACAATATTACCTTTAAAAAAAGAATTGTCAACAAGACTATGTCTTGTTTATAAAATCGTACTGCTTGCTGTGTTACCAACTTAGAGGTATGAAGGAGTACATGTCAGGAGTTGCAATTTGGCACAGAGTATTAAGTGCCCAAATCATACGCGCATAAAAATACCTGACTTGTAGCTACTCGGGATCGAGAACCGAGTGAAAGTAAAATATAAAATGGCTACTCTCTCTACAAACAGGCAAACCCAAGGACTATATACTACATATATGTAGTATAAACTACATATAAGGACTATATATGTAGTTTAAAGTCCTTGAGGCAAACCGAAGTCAGGTGGTGAGAGTACCACCCACAGTCGTTCAAGGAAATGGACTCTGACCCTAGGACTGAGCATGTAGTATTTTCTTTCTTAAATAAAAATTTGTAATCTAATTTTGTAAATTTGGGAGTGCTTCAAATAGGACATTAAAACAGGGTTTTATGTCGTTACAAGTAGGTTTTTTTAACGTTGTCTAGTATAGTAAAATCGTGGGACCAGTAAAAATTTGACGTTATAATCAGGTTAAACTGTATATTGTTTGTGCAAAATAAAAAAAANCCCTTATTAGCTTTATAAATTTTGAGTGTTTCAAAATATTTTTTGTGTTAAACAAAATACAATATAGTAGGCAATGTATTGAGTGAATGTATCTCTTATTATTTTTTTTTTTTTTTACTCTTTATTCGACAAGTCTTATATACGCTGCAGAGGGCGCACCGTTCTCTATTGCCCATCGGCTTCAGCATGAGTAGTTGACAATCTCGTTATTGTGACAAGTCGCGTTGTGTTAAAAAGAAAGTGAAAATGGCGGGAACTATATTAGAGAACTTAAGCGGTAAAAAACTAGCTGTTTTGGTCAGCTTCATTTTAATATGCCAAGTGATCTGTTTTCTCATAGGTGGATGCATCGGTGAGTACAAAACATTGCCTTTATCCTCATCAAATATCAAAAAATGCTTAATTAATTACACGAGATCGCGCTTTAAAAATAAAAATAAAAGTATATACATTGTCTTGATGCATATTTGAAATATGCATTGGGTGCATTGCTTATCAGTTTCATTATTTTGAAATTGATTAATTTACAGTCATAATAATAAACACGTGTTAACCAATTTAATAAGAAAAAAAGTCATTTTATCTGCTATTATTTAGGTAAAATTTTGAAAAATCAAAAGATTTTTCTTTATCACTTAAAATCTCGGGTTAAAATTCTTAAAGCAGACGTCTTAGATTGATGTAAAGGATAAAAATAATCGCATATCTGTCTGATAGGAATGACCTTCATATTTCATATTATTATTAGATACAAATCTAATTTTCATGTCTATTAAATGTTATGGTTTTAATTCTGAATACTTGCAGACAAAAGTTAAATGTCAACTACCAGAATATCCATTATCTTAGAACAGGTTTTGATTCATTGCCTGAGGTGTTAGTGTTTAAACCATGTTGTCTTTTGTTAAAGTTAATTTAATTTTTATTTAACTGAGATAAACTTTCTTTTGTTTAGAAAACGTCAAAGATTTTCTTATATTTTGATCCATAAGTTTTCAAAAATAAATTTAATAACACATTTGTTTAACATTGGAAATATTTACAATTAAAAAATACCATACTTAAATGTTTACAAATTTAAATAAATAATTGTATATAAACAAATTGTTTGATCTTTGGTTCTATTTATTATTTATACTTTCAGTTTTTCAAACTAATAATAATTTGATTTCATTTAAAAATTGTATATTTGTTTAGATTTTAGTTTACTAAAATTCAGTTTGATATGGCAAATAGGTAAATTATTTTTAGAATAATATTGATAATCAATAATTTATTAATAATATACAAAATATTAAAATATTCATCTTTTATTCAAAATACATTACTTTCTAAGATAATTTCAAAAGTATTTCAGACTCTACAGTAAATTCTATAGTGATTATTAGGAAAATCTGTTAACTACATTTGTTTTACATT